AATGCAAACGCTAGTTTTACGCACTGAATAAACTCGTATGTCAGGAGCTTTACACATATGGCAGAACAGTAGTCAAATAAGGTTATTGGCTTTTTTGTCCAGCGGGACCTAATGTTCGTTTTGGTTGTTTTAAAATAGTTTTAGGAGATATATTGGAACTAGAGATAAAGATTAAGGAACTCAATCTAATCTAATAAAGGATAAGATAAAAAATCTCCGGTGTTACAATTCTTGGAACAGATGTAATCAAAATACTCTCTATGTAACTTTTGGAAGGAAATCCATATGCCTAAAGTGTGGATCTTAAAGGCTTACTTGCTTCTCAGTGCTGCAATTCTATTCAATGCTTCCGTGCTTTTTCTAGTATCAGTATCCCTAAGGTTCGTTCGTGAGCTGGCAGGTGTTAGACGAGTGGAGACGGCTGTATATGACATATCTGAGTCCTAAAAAAGGGAAAATCACAGCTACATAAGCAAAAAAAAGAACAGAATATCAAACAAAATCATATCTAGCAGACTGAAAACTTCGTAAATGATTATAATAAGAGCAATTAAGGCATTAATTCAAACAATTAAATAATCATAAAAGGCCTTAATACTAACCCTTCGACGTTGCAGCTCTTTGGTTAGGTCACGGCTTACGGTATTCACTGGTGCTCGAATATTTTGCTGTTGATTCAGCAACATATGATTCGGACTTTGACTTCGACTTCGTAAATGTAAATTCGATTCGGTGTAATTGTCCGCTGAACAGGAAACTTTTTTGCAATCTATTCAAAAGCGATTTTTTCTAAAGAAAAGCTATTTAAAATATGAGGAAAAACCCCAGAACACCCCACAAAATCACTGAATGCTCTCTATAGATTTGCGAAAAAAAAAGATTGCAAAACTTTTCTAAATGCCCAGAAAATCCCAACAACACGCAAAAGATTCTATAGCAATGTTCATAGCTACCAAAAAGATTATGCTGACCTTTGAAGCAAATCTATGAAGATGTAAATTTTTTAACTGGATTCTCAAAAAACAGCTCATAATTCGCTACCAAATTCAATTTCAAAAATTACAAGCTGTTTTAGGTTACTCCATCTCAAAAAATCAGTTATGTATGCGTGAATAAACCTAACCAATGGTTTCAATACCATTATTATTCAATAATCTTCAGCGATTAACTACTCCTATAACAGAGTTTACCTAACAAATGCTAAGTCTACAACTAAATGAATGGGGCCATTCCAACACTTTTTTGATGCCATGGTATCAATTGCGAAACCTTCGTTGAAGGATTATAGAATATATCCAAATAATCATCGCATTTAAGAGAGCATCTGACATTGGGAAACATGATACGTAAGAAAAGGGTAATTATAATCACCTAAATCGTAATTATAAGTAGGTAAGCTCAATCAGATACAGTTAAGGGAAGTGAATACATACTACGGTAACAGTATAACCATCAAATTGGACCTGTTCTATATTCTCTAGTTGATATATTCCTAATGGTACATCATGTATCTGGAAATTACTTCAATTAAAA